TAATCATATTAAACTTTCTGCAAAATTCTCAAAAAAAATTATTTCGAATGTATTTCCCCAATGCAAAAACAATAAGTAAAATTTAAGTAAAGTTTAAACTTAGAAACTTAAAATTTCAAACGTTTTGAAGGTATAGGATAGAAGTATTTGTGGCAACGCTCGATTCTGGCACACCTCGTTCCCGTCTATATTCAAAATAATAATAATATAATATGTGTGTATTATAATATTACAAGCTATTTCAGTGCCCTTTAACGTGCGACTCCCGCTAAACGCGCCAGTGGATCCTGCAATAAAATTGCAGACGAATTTATAATTTTTCCGAAAAATTTCAGTTAGTCGCACTTTATTTATCTGCTGATTTGTTTGAAACGAGAAAAATGGTGAAATATAAACAACAAAGTTTAATCCACTTATCAACAAAATACACATTTTTGATCTAGATGGCTGTTTTGCCGTCTGAGCTGATAGGAGATTGTTAAAACAATTTTAATCATTTCCGGATGATGCCAACTTAGATGACGAAACTGGCGTCGAGTGCAAAAGTGTGTATTTTGGTGCTATAATAGGTGGATTAGACTCTGCTTTTACACCAAAGGTTTCACAATCCGGTTCACCGGTTAAAATATCGATAATAATCGATAAAAATACCGAAACTTTCTATTAATTACAAAAATTAGGTGTTTATAACTTCACGCCTAGAAAACCTAATGTACAAACTTAATTTTTGGTTTCACTGTAATACTGCATTATTTATATTAATGTATCTACAAATTAATGTCCACGTTATAGGCTATAATACAATATAATTATTATTTATTACTTATTACCACATGAAACATAATTTGCGGTGCATCATTAACGTGGAATTTTTAATGAACATATGTGATATATTCATAGTATAAAAATGCGTCAAAACAATAATAATTTCGTTAGTTATCTGATAAAAACTGAGATAACATACCGTATGGCTCATGTTTCGCCCTATTTGTAACTCAATACCACAATATTTATGAACTAAATATAAGTATTTTTGATACCAAAATAGATTGATTTAGTAAAGACATATCGTATTTTAAACGCTATATTTTCATTATTAAATATTAAGATCAAGTTAATTCCAAATTTAAAATTTGATAAAAATAAAGTATTTGATACAATTAAATTTCACACAATTCCTATAATTTTTAACATACAGGGTGTCTTACGGTGACTATCAGAATATTTAGGAAAGTACTTCGATTTAAATTTTGAAAATTTGGACAATCCTCAATTAAAATGATCTATCTAGTGCTTCTGGTTATACCGGAAGTTGACATCAACTTCGTTATTTTAAATGGAACACTCTGTACTACTGTATTAATGGTATGTTTCGACTCGCTTTTAATGTTCCACGAATGTTCAGTTTTAAAATAAATTTTAATGTAGTTTGGTTGTCATATTTATACCAAACTAACGCGTGGCGAAGTTTTTGTTCGTTTACATATTGTCAATGCACATGAACATCATACCGTGAATCCAAAAATCTGTTACATCAGTAATTATATCTATATTAATACAGTACAAATATTGTACGTGTTCTGAACATGAATTCAGCGGTGTAGTTGTCACAATTTTGCACGTATAACTAAATTTCTAGATCAAAATTAAATCAGCATACTAACGGTCTCAACTAAAATAAAAAGTGATACGTGACGCAGTTGGAGGCATATTAGGATTATAAATGTTGCACTCGATGTTTGGAATTAAAATCGGTTTTATTTTGGGAATACGTTGAAGGAGAGTTTCGTTTCCAAAACCGCGAATTTATGTAAGTGCTCTGGCAATACAGGAAATATTATTAGAAAATTATTTATTACACTTTCCGGCAGCTATTTATCATTTTCTACTGATGAGTTTTTAAAAGCTGNCCTTCTTAGGCATGAAGGTCTAGTCAGAGACATATTAGAGGCAGAAACAGGAGTTAGGAGGGGTAGAGGTAGACCTAGATTAGATTACTCTTCGCAAATAGTTAAGGATGTGGGTTGTTCTAGTTTTAGGGAAATGCGAAGTTTAGCTCAGGATAGGAAAGAGTGGAATACGTGTCCAACCAGTCTTAGGACTGATGACCTTATGATGATGATGATGATGATGATTGTCAAAGTTACAGAAAACGACATAGGATACCTTCTATACAGAAAAATTAGTTACATGTGGTCATCGTTGATCATTTACGCGTATTTAGGACATCATCGTTATAAGCGAAATCGCGGATAAAACCTAGTTAGTAATAAAGTTAAATTTTGTCAGTTTCAATGTCAATTTTGTTGTTTTCTATCAGACTTGCTGTGAACTGACATTACACGTTCATCACTCCATTAAGTAGAACAATTTTTGTTTTAGTATTTACATATTTTGTAAAACTTGGAAAATGACGAAAAATTTTTAGTGAAAATTCCCTTCGTTCGAAATGCAACCGGAAATATCCTGCTTTGAGAAGGTCAGTTGCTTGCAAGAGAAGAGCCGATGACGTATAGAGCCCTTGTCAAAATTTCCTTTGTACAACATCTCAAAAGCAAAGCAAATGCAGTTAATGCAAATATACTAAAAGTATGTATATAATTTTCAAGACATTTTCTTTTATGTTTCAGATAGAGGAGCCTCCTGATTGGAGCTGCCTTCGACTATTTTCGTTCTATCATTATCACTACATTTGAATAAGTTAAAAATTGGTGACACTTTCGGTGTTGGTTATACAAGGCGTGTGGGGATGGTTTACCTGTTGGCCGACTGGGGTATGGGAGATTCTGAAACCCGAAACCGACACTATGCAGAGAACTCACGTGATCTCTTGCGTTTTAACCAACACTCTACTGAACACCTTGATGTCATTAATGATGAAATCGACTTACATCCACTTAGTAACCAAGTAAGTCAACTATATTTTAAAATTATAGATAATGTACATTCTACAAGTATCTGGTAATTCATTGAATTTATCTCAATTGAAATATTTCCAGATATATGTACATGGGCACCTATATCTGATAGTGATAATAGTGTATTTGTTGTTAATCATATTAAACTTTCTGCAAAATTCTCAAAAAAAATTATTTCGAATGTATTTCCCCAATGCAAAAACAATAAGTAAAATTTAAGTAAAGTTTAAACTTAGAAACTTAAAATTTCAAACGTTTTGAAGGTATAGGATAGAAGTATTTGTGGCAACGCTCGATTCTGGCACACCTCGTTCCCGTCTATATTCAAAATAATAATAATATAATATGTGTGTATTATAATATTACAAGCTATTTCAGTGCCCTTTAACGTGCGACTCCCGCTAAACGCGCCAGTGGATCCTGCAATAAAATTGCAGACGAATTTATAATTTTTCCGAAAAATTTCAGTTAGTCGCACTTTATTTATCTGCTGATTTGTTTGAAACGAGAAAAATGGTGAAATATAAACAACAAAGTTTAATCCACTTATCAACAAAATACACATTTTTGATCTAGATGGCTGTTTTGCCGTCTGAGCTGATAGGAGATTGTTAAAACAATTTTAATCATTTCCGGATGATGCCAACTTAGATGACGAAACTGGCGTCGAGTGCAAAAGTGTGTATTTTGGTGCTATAATAGGTGGATTAGACTCTGCTTTTACACCAAAGGTTTCACAATCCGGTTCACCGGTTAAAATATCGATAATAATCGATAAAAATACCGAAACTTTCTATTAATTACAAAAATTAGGTGTTTATAACTTCACGCCTAGAAAACCTAATGTACAAACTTAATTTTTGGTTTCACTGTAATACTGCATTATTTATATTAATGTATCTACAAATTAATGTCCACGTTATAGGCTATAATACAATATAATTATTATTTATTACTTATTACCACATGAAACATAATTTGCGGTGCATCATTAACGTGGAATTTTTAATGAACATATGTGATATATTCATAGTATAAAAATGCGTCAAAACAATAATAATTTCGTTAGTTATCTGATAAAAACTGAGATAACATACCGTATGGCTCATGTTTCGCCCTATTTGTAACTCAATACCACAATATTTATGAACTAAATATAAGTATTTTTGATACCAAAATAGATTGATTTAGTAAAGACATATCGTATTTTAAACGCTATATTTTCATTATTAAATATTAAGATCAAGTTAATTCCAAATTTAAAATTTGATAAAAATAAAGTATTTGATACAATTAAATTTCACACAATTCCTATAATTTTTAACATACAGGGTGTCTTACGGTGACTATCAGAATATTTCGGAAAGTACTTCGATTTAAATTTTGAAAATTTGGACAATCCTCAATTAAAATGATCTATCTAGTGCTTCTGGTTATACCGGAAGTTGACATCAACTTCGTTATTTTAAATGGAACACTCTGTACTACTGTATTAATGGTATGTTTCGACTCGCTTTTAATGTTCCACGAATGTTCAGTTTTAAAATAAATTTTAATGTAGTTTGGTTGTCATATTTATACCAAACTAACGCGTGGCGAAGTTTTTGTTCGTTTACATATTGTCAATGCACATGAACATCATACCGTGAATCCAAAAATCTGTTACATCAGTAATTATATCTATATTAATACAGTACAAATATTGTACGTGTTCTGAACATGAATTCAGCGGTGTAGTTGTCACAATTTTGCACGTATAACTAAATTTCTAGATCAAAATTAAATCAGCATACTAACGGTCTCAACTAAAATAAAAAGTGATACGTGACGCAGTTGGAGGCATATTAGGATTATAAATGTTGCACTCGATGTTTGGAATTAAAATCGGTTTTATTTTGGGAATACGTTGAAGGAGAGTTTCGTTTCCAAAACCGCGAATTTATGTAAGTGCTCTGGCAATACAGGAAATATTATTAGAAAATTATTTATTACACTTTCCGGCAGCTATTTATCATTTTCTACTGATGAGTTTTTAAAAGCTGTGCTATTTTCGGCGCAAGAAATATGAGGTGATGATTGCTTCTAGCAATAAAAAATTAGCAACGTTTAAACACTTCTCATTTCAACAGATTGAATAAATTTTATTAAAAAAAAAAGAACGATTTATGTAATGACAAACAACTTACGAGGAGTCGGTTCTACTAAGTCATCATCATATGGTCGTCAGTCCTAAGACCTCAACTCTTTCCTATCCTGAGCTAAACTTCGCATTTCCCTAAAACTAGAACAACCCACATCCTTAACTATTTGCGAAGAGTAATCTAATCTAGGTCTACCTCTACCCCTCCTAACTC